ACAGCTAAAATCAGCAAAACAGTAACTAAGAGCTAAAATCAGCAAAACAGTAACTAAGAGCTAAAATCAGCAAAACAGTAACTAAAAGCTCCAATCAGCAAAACAGTAACTAAGAGCTAAAATCAGCAAAACAGTAACAAACAGCTAAAATCAGCAAAACAGTAACTAAAAGCTAAAATCAGCAAAACAGAGCTAAAATCAGCAAAACAGTAACTAAGAGCTAAAATCAGCAAAACAGTAACTAAGAGCTAAAATCAGCAAAACAGTAACTAAAAGCTCCAATCAGCAAAACAGTAACTAAGAGCTAAAATCAGCAAAACAGTAACAAACAGCTAAAATCAGCAAAACAGTAACTAAAAGCTAAAATCAGCAAAACAGCAACAAACAGCTAAAATCAGCAAAACAGTAACTAAAAGCTAAAATCAGCAAAACAGCAACAAACAGCTAAAATCAGCAAAACAATAACTAAATGCTAAATTCAGCAAAACAGTAATTAAAAGCTCAACGTAGCTAAAGGGAGCAGGAAACTGAAGCTGATTTCAAAGAGAACAGTTATTTTAGAAGGAATAAAGAATTCTTAATGTGTTTTTGTGTGTAAAATATTAGTAAATTGTTCAAAATATAGAACAATAAAAACATTCCAGAACTCAGCAAATTATTCCAGAAGGAAGTGAAAGTTTTGACATGAACAGATTATTAAAATCTGGATAAATCAGATTAAAATCAGATTAAAATGGTTCAACAGCACAACGTGTGCAGAAACAGACACCTAAGCCCTGCAGCAGAAGATCTCAGAACCTCACATGTTTCTGTGAGGTTCCAACAACCTGCAGCTAAAACGAGGCTCACCTTCCAGGTGCTGCAGCAACATGAGGGGCGTGGCCAGGAGCCACAGGTAAGTCAGGTCCATGCTGCTCCTCCAGGTGTGAACTAGGAAGCAACAGGTTGAAATGTTTTCTGTGAGAAAAAGTTCTCCTCCTCCGTCCCGTCAGCTCTGCGGCTCCGAGGGAATCCTCCAGGATCCAGGCGGGTTCTGAGGTTCTGCTCGCTCCAGATGTGGGAGGATAAAGTGATGGGTCGGAGCGCAGCTGCTGGCTGAAAACAGGCTGAGGGGGAGGTTTGGGGGGGACGAGGGGAGGAGGAAACTGCTCCTGCAATCAGACACCTTCACAGAACCATAAACTAGAGTCTGGGCCGGTCCAACCCAGACTCTCAGGTCTTTCCCCTGAGGTCTCCTCACATACCTGAGACTAAAGGAACAAGACTTGCTTTATTCCACGTATTTAGCTGGTAGGCTACCTAGTAAGTACAAGTACTTTGTTACTGTACTTGAGTAGAAATTTTGGTTATCTGTACTTTACTTGAGTAATTATTTTTCAGCATACTTTTTACTTTTACTCATTACATTTTTACGCAATTATCTGTACTTTCTACTCACTACATTTTTTAAAAAGGTAAAAAGTAGAAAGTCGTGACTCCTATTTTATTAGTAGTTGTTATTTCTTAAAAATATTATCCTGATAAATTGTGTCTCCTGGACAGAGTGAATTTAATTGTGGTTGGTTGAGAATTATAAATATGTACCATTCTGACCCCTATTAACTTGTACACAACCCATCACAGCTGCAGGCTGTTAGAAAAAATATCTTTTGGAGAAGTCACCTGCCAATAAATGTCATTTTGGAAAATCTAACTGCTCACTTTTACTCAGTACTTTTACTTTTAATACTTAAGTAGATTTTGTGTCAGAAATTTACTTTTGATACTTAAGTACAAAAAATATCAGATACTTTAAGACTTTTTTACTTAGAACCAGCACCTTAATTCAATTCAATTCAAAAATTTATTAATTTCATTAAAAATACAGTGTACAAT